GTAGTAGTAGTCGTAGTCGTCCTCGTCGTCGTCGGGTTGGGAGGAGAGCTGGAGTAGTAGGAGGAGCAGCTGGCAGCGGCGGTGGTGGTGGCGAAAGTAATACTGTCAACAAAGAAAGAGCGCCCAGAAAGCTTACGCCAACCTTTCTAAGATGCCAAAAACTGATATCATGTGCTTCGCAAACCAACAGTCGTAAGATGAACAAACTAAAAACCGCACGTAGTATGTGCAGTTGCTGCAACCCTGTCGCGCATGCCAATGCTGCTTCCGCGCCCATTTGCATGTGCCGCCCCTAGTCTGGTTAACTACTGGAGGGTTTTGGACCCCGCTCAGGAGTTGAAGGCATCAAACCTAGACCAGAGGGCGAAATCCTCGCGAAACTTAGAGCCCTGCAGCCTTGAACTAAAGGGTTCGAGGGTCTTAGTACGGTTCTTCCCGGATATTCGGGGTTGACGTCAGGGTTTTGAGGCTAGGAGAGCGGCACGGTCGGCCAAGGTTTTCCAGTTCACTCATCGGGGCTATTGGCCTAATGTCGCTGCCTTCTGTTTCGACCTCAACTTCAGATCCCTCGGAACTAAACACATGAACCTCGCCGCGGCACCACCCCGAGTGCAGAAAGGAGGTCATGCGCGACCTGGAGCGTCTCTTCCAAGCGCCGCGAGGCCTTCCCCAAAGAAACGATGCGGCACTTGGGGGTTCGGGCAGTTCGGGGTCCGAGCTGCAGGGCAAGGCTGGAGGATCTGGCTGTCTTTGGTCTCTTGTAAAAGCGCTACACGTTGTTAAACTTTGCAAGAGCTTGCACTCTTTTCTTCACCTCATGGGTCTCCAATTTCCAAAATCCCAAACACGGTGAGCAATGACAGCCCGAAGCAATGCATGGATCGTTGTGCCTAGTTCGATAACGGAAGGTGACTCGTTAGGACGCGTCAGCGCCTTGGCATCCATGGCCGTAAAGGGAGCAGGACGGTCTGAAGTGAGCCACGTCGGCGATGTGTCCTCTGCTTGCTTTGCTGTTTGCCGCGTTGTCGTGCAAACTTCCTGGATAGAGCGTGCGTTCTAGTTCTGCTTGCTCCTGCTTGTCATGATCATTTTAGCCATGTTGTCTTTAAATGGTTTGAGTTACCATGGGTTGCTGGGAGGGCTAGTCACAACATCTCAAGCTGCCGATTAATTACCTGTGAACCCGTTGGAAACATCTTCGAAACCAGAAACACTACCAGGCACTTACAGGTGTTTTTCTCTGATGCTCTGTAGGTATGTGGCAAGCCTCACTCGAGTCGAGCACCTGGAAGCCAATGGTCTTTGCCCTTTCCTTGCTCACGAGGACGGGTAAAAACTGCCTCAGCGAGAATCTTCGGTTTTCCGGGGTTTTGGGGGGAGGCTGAGGTTCGTTTTCGTTTTTCAGGGCTACGCCCAAGACCTGGGACCCAGGCTTCGGGTTTGGGCGCTCAAGGATTGCCCCAGATTGCGGCTGTCTGCCTTCAAAGGGCGCAGGTTTGCCAGGTTGACAGAGATGTGCTACTAGCTGAGGGACCTTGTTGCTATTTGGGATTCGGTGCTCTTCCGTGGCCAGTCCTCGAACGCGACGCAGGATCGCTTTCGTGGAGGCTGTGGTCGGGAGCAGTTTTCCGAGGAGATTGGCCCAAAGCCCGTGCGTTTCGTCCAAGGACTACATGTCACCCTGTTCCAGCAGACAATGTGTTTTTGGGCTGCCTACCGAAAGGACTTGGCAGTGCTCAGCGCAAAGTCGCAGGCGTCAAGCTCCAGTACGGGCATGAGCGACACCCCAACATCTGCCGTCTGCGAGAATGGGGGCCTTCATCTTTAGAGGTAACTTCAAAAGCAGCAGCCGGTGACGGGCGTAAAAATCAGGGTTCGGAAGTTCAGGAAAGCGGCAGCACATTCCATGGGCCTGTGGCAAGCAACTCCATGGACGCCCGTTCTGGATCCAAGCCCACATTATTGCCTTCAGGGTAGCGACAGCCAACTGTGGAGCTGAAGGGTCGCAGAACGACGAAAACGAGAGAACCGCTGTTATTCACGCAAAGTCGCCCACTCCCTAAGGCCAAAGCCCCAAATCATAGAGTACGCAGGAGTTCGATTGTAGCTATATGTTGCTATATCAACAAACCGCGGGCCCCCTTGACGCTGTCTTCTAAAATCATACCCCGCGCGGAGAGAACACAGGACCTATGCTGGCTCTAGCTCCGAAAAAACTCCAGTTTCAGGCTGAGGCTTCCAGAGGTTTGCCTCGGGAAATGAGTGGAGAGGCGCGGGGCTCCAAGTGAAGTACAGATCTTATTTTGCAACGTAGGGTTTGGGGGTGTGCCTGGTTTATGGCCTGTGCCTTTGCTGTTGAGGCCCAGGCCTTCCAGCTCCAGGAAAGAATGCATGACATGGAGCCACAACACTCTCAGGCCATATCCGGTGGATATGGCAGCTCCATCACGCACAAGCGCCAAAGTGACAATCAAGGTGCTCCACAAAAGTCGTCCACATGGATCCGTCATGCGTGGCCAGTCTTGGAGATGCACCTCGTCCAATAAACCTGCTGCCAGCAACTGGGCAGCTTGCTTGAGGACCTTTGGTGTTGAGTGCAGACGCGAGATCTGCCAGTCAAGCAGCTCACCGTCGAACTTGTGCAGATAATGCAAACTCTTCTCACCACATAACTGCCGCATGTCCGCTCTAACCTTCGTCGTCTCTCGGTGAATACGTGACCAGTTCGCAACCAAGTCAAAAAGAGGCCACGAGGTCCGAAGCAAGTTTTCCCAGGGCATGCTCAGGGCTGACCAGGGAATGTCGCGGCAGCCAGGGGCATAAAGGCAGGACCTCGGAACCAGTGGATTGGTCCACTCAGAAAGATGCGGCTCTGAACCCTGCCCCAGGTGCCCTAGCCGCATACACTGAAGTTCAGTTGCCGAGCGTGTCGCCCTGGTGACCTGGTGGTGGTTCAGCTGGAATCTGAACTATGTCAATATGCAAGCAGGACCCATCCTGGCTAGTGCTTTGGCCGGTACTTATCTAGATATAGGTAGTGATGGGTAGCGGATCCAAAGAGCGATTCCTTGTACAATTATTCCAGAAGGTCGACAGACAAACCTCAACCCAAAACCCACATCATAACTCTCAAATTTAAGGAAGCAGCAGGGAGAGAGACTGGTAGACAAGGCACGCAACTGTAATGGAAAACCTTTCCGCAACGCAGAGGACCGAATTGCAGTCATCTGGCTCCTCAGTGTCGGCTGTGAACATGATGTCCCGAAGGGGATCTGCGCCCCGAAATATGATCAGGGCAATCTGCTGACCAAGCCCCTCCCCTTGGCAATTGAGACCCCTGTGAGCCGAAGTTGCGCATCCGAAGTCCACGCCGCCGCGGAGCTCTTCCATGAGCTGTCGGTCCTCCGAAGCAGCCGAAGCAGGGGGCCAGCTCAGGAGACAACCTAGGTACCGGAGGGGGTGGGGGGTAGCAAGCTTATATATCGACCGTGGAGAGAAGCTTGTACGAAATCTTCGCCTTGTACCAATGTCAGGAACTCGACATGAGATCAGTGGCTTCCAAGGAATCCGTGAGGCATTGGGCAATCAGAAAAAAACCGAGTTCTCTGTTCCGCAGGAGCTTTTTTTAAACACGGCTCCGCGAATGATGGACGGCGACGGCAAAGAATTACCCCGACCCAAAGAGACCCAAAATAATGGCCTACATCTCTGTTGATTTTGAGGTTCGCCACTACAAGTTTACCCGCATCTATATATCCTGGGGTCGAGGTCCATGGACAAGCAAATCATGCTTCGCGGCATATGCTCGCCGAAACGCTCCAGCAACATGTTGATGTTGTATCTCAAAGTTATAGGCCTCTTGCTGGGATCTAATCTTGCTACTTCGAGGAATAGTCACATAAAGCCACACAGAACCAGCGCTACTTGATCGAATTGGTGCCTGCGCGTGCTATCCGATTTGCGCGGACTGTACAAGTCGAAACCGGAGCCACTGGGCATGCCTGGGCCTTCGCGAACGCAAGCCTTCGGCGGAGAAACACCCAGGAACAATGCACACTACCTTGGTGGGGTCCAGTGTGGAAAGCATAAGGGGTAAGAAAATCGGAGTATTTCTTGGAGGCCCGAGTTTTCCCAAAATGCATCTCAATCTTCCCCTATACTACATACACTATAACATGATGCGATGCAATATCCCGCTTCCAGGTACGGCGCTGGGCAAGGCTCTTCACGTGCTGTGCTCGGGCGCCCGGCCTTTGCCAAGGCTTTCGTTGCATCTTCACGAAGCCCTTGTGCGAAGCGTACACACCCCAGGTTGCCTGGGCTTAGGTTTAGGTTTTAGGGTTTAGGGCTTAGGGTTTAGGGGATCATAATGGGCTCATTTTGATGTAAGCCTTTGGCGACAACGATTTGTGCCTGTCCTCTTACATATCGAGCAGCATGGGATGTTCCGTGTAGTGCAAATTCGTTGAAGTACAGCTCTTCATCGCAACAGTTGGCAACAACTAACAATGAAGCGGAATCAGAAGCACTCACAGAAGCGCAGACCAACAACAGAACACAAGCAACAGTCCCCACCTCTAAACACCTCGAAAAAATCGCTAACAGTTTGCTTCGAAATTTGCTCCCAGATGCTTTGGGCACAAAAGCCCACTCAGATGCCTGGATCTGCTGCACATCCTTGAGCTCAGCTTGCACAGCGCTGCCTTCACCTCCTTCGGTGGGTCCACCCCAAGTCACAGACCCATCGGCGACGATCGCGGCAAAAGCGTGGCTGAAACTTTGAATCTGGGGGACCATCTTCAAGACCGAATCGACACTGCGCACCTGCAAAGTCAGCGTATCGCCACTGTGCAGCTTGGATTCCTCGAGCGTGGAGCCTTGGTCCAGAACGCCTCCGGAGGAGTCCAGGAGCCTGCCCCCGCCAACTGCAAGCAGTGAGTCTACAGACTCATCCGGAGCTGGAAGCAGGGCCTCCTGTGCTCTAACGCTGTCTCCACAAGCTCGCGGGACTCTGCTTCAAGGGACACTGTCCTGCGACTTAGCAGGCTGACCTCAATCGCAAGCGCCATGGCCGTTATCCCTCAAAGGCTCTCTCTCTCTCTCTCTCTTCCGTGTCGATGCGGCCTTCCATTTCATGTGATGCTTGCCGCGATGGGTTTAGAGTTTAGGGTTTACACCCAGTCACCCTACATATATTGAAGCCCTAAACCCTAAGGAGCCTAAACCCGGACCTGAACCCAAAGCTCAAAACCTAAACCGGCATGTAGAGCGGCCTCGTGCGACCATGATGCTTTGCTGTCCTTGTCTGGCTTTAACAATGAGATTGAGCCGCAAGCTCGGAGCCCTGAGGGTCTAAGCAAAATGCAACTACCATGCCGCTCTCACTTTCGAGGGCCTGAATCTATTTCGGTCGGGTGGGTACCGGTTTTTTCGGTCGGGTTGCGGTCCCGGTTTATTCTTGCGCCTCCTATGCGAGATCCAGTCCCGCGAAATACTTCCCCCGCACGGTCCCCGCCCACAGGTCCCCTGTCCCGCTGTGTGCTCTAATCGCACCACAGGCCCCCGTCTGCAGTTCAGGTGCTTCTGGGTCAGGCAGCTTCAACCCCTCAGAGGATCCCGGTCATCACATCTGAAGCCATGAGCAGTGCAACACTTGCAGTACGAAAGAGTGAGCTAAGGCCCTCGTGGATCCTAGCCCTTGCGTCAGTCAAGCCGACTCCATGATGACGGCCGTGATCATGGGGACGAAACAAAAACCTTTCTTCAGTTTCCGCTGCTTGTGGTGCGGGGGGGAAGATTAGGCGGACCTGCGCATGGCCCCCACGCCGAAGAGTAGCACGGACCTGCGGAGACCTGCAGACCGGGGCCTGTGGTGCGATTAGAGCACGCAGCGGGACAGGCCTGCGGTCCGGGAAGGTAGATTAGGCGGACCTGCGCATGGGGATTGCGAGATAGGACAGGGATGGGGACCTACAAAGAGTAGCACACAGCGGGCCAGGGGACCCGCAGACGGGCACCTGGCAGCACGCTGAGCGACACAGGGGACCTGCAGACGGGGGCCTGTGGTGGAGCACACAGCGGGACAGGGGACCTGCGGACGAGGACCTGGGACATGTGTCCGAACCCCCCACCCCCCACCTCTAAAGGCATATTTCAAAGGACAAGCAGCCTCACAGAGTTCCCAAAACTATGCTCCCCCACAACCCCATGTTCCCCCGAGTTGTTTGGTTTGTTTTCGTTTTCAAGGATCTTGGAGGTCAACAGCTTGGGTACGGGCACATGATTGCACATAGGATGATCGCAGCCGAAGCCATGAAAGTCCAAAAGCTTATGTGTAAGCTGAGCGACCCCAGGCCAAATGCTGAACCCCTGTGCAAGTTTGCCGGGCCGAGCAGGCTAAACCCCGAAACCCGCTACACCCCTTTGCTCAATGAACATGATCGAACAACAGCCTGGTCCGTCTCCAGTGTTCCCCGAAGCCAGTTGGTGACCTGGGGGCTTCTGATCGGGGTACGAAATTGCAATTCCGAAAGAGTGCACCAACAAGAGCGCTTTCAGGGCTTGAAAAACACTAGGCCACAGGCCACTAGGCATCTGCTCCCACCACATGAGCGCTGCACCTGCAGCCCTCACCCACCGAGACAGTCCCCACGTTTCAACCATGTCGCCCTGCACAGTAGAACTTCGAAAGAGCTGAACAGATCTTCCAGCCGTTCTCAAGCCGCTGTGGTTGACTGCTTAAACGTCTTACACCTCAACTGCAAAGAGCCAACACCCGAGCCCAGAGCACCCAAGCCCGACCCCAGGTTGACGGACCCAATAAATCCTAGCGGGTTCACTCCGGGGTGGTTTTTCCTCTTGTGATGTGCTGTTGCATGCCCCTCTCCTTCAGTGCTGCCTTTCCCTCACTTGGAAAACACCGTCCTGCGCGAGGTTTTCGCCTTCTTGCAGATGTTGCGCTCTTCGTAGCTGAAGTTTCTGTCACATTGCCGCTTTCTGGCTTTGTGCACGAAAACTCACGTGAGTTTTTGTCGTACATTTTTGGTTGCGACTTTCCAAAAAACGTGGCCTGCGTGCTATGTTCCTGACTTTCTGAAGCCATGTTGCTTGCTATCTCGTGCTTTGTGCTTTCTGTGTTTTTCCGTCTGTTCCGTTTGCAGTGATGTGCTCTGCTTGCTTTTTTTTCTTGGGCGGGGGGGGGGGGGGGGG